CACATGTGAACTCATCATATTTACAGAACTCAGCACATAGAGAAGATTTTCCAATGCTCTCCCAACACAATTAGTGTCAGCAGCCAGGCAGAAGGCATGATGAACTTCACTGAGAGAGAGATGCATGTGGGGACAATCGAGTCAGTGTCTTGGGCATAAAACACAGGCTGCACTACTGGTCCCCAGAGGTAAGACACGACAGACAGGCAGGTGGCCGCCCTGGGAGCTGATGGCACCATGAGACGAGGGCCCACAGGCGGGCAAATGGGGCTAATCTCAGCCAGGAAAATAAATAGCCATGAACTTCTAGTCAGTTTCACATATATACAGCTTCACTTTAGGCCAAGAGGAGAAAATGTAAGAAGTAACGGGGGATCTAAACACCTCTAAGCCTTTCAAACTCTTCAACCGTCCCGTTCACAGCTCAAGTCTCTCACTAAACACACAAGGCCCTTCACGCCAGCCACACCCACTGGCCGTGTTTTCTTGCCGTCCTGCTCCCTCTGGCTGGGCATCCAGAACAGCCACCCCCCACCGCCCACCAAAGTCCCCTGGGGTTTGGGGTCGGTGGTGACTGTGCGTGTGCAGAGTGTGAGGCAGAGGCCCAGGAGGGTCCTGCCCGGGCCTGACATAGGCCTGGGGGCGCTCATCTGGCGCCTGGAGCCACAGACTGCACTATGGAGGCATCCCTTTCCTGGCCCCAGCATCCACACAGCCCATGCTGTCATACCAAATCCCAGAGCCTTGGAACCTGCTACGAACCCCATCTCGAATCCTAATGCTGACACTTTATTTAAAATTAGGTCTGTTTATTAGTAAGGTGAGAACAGGAGACAGATGAAATGGAGCCCCTCCCTCGACCTGCTACCCTAACAGGACTCTGGAGCCCACAACTTCGGCCAAACAATTACTGGGTTGTGAGGACTGCCTGGGCTTATGGCTTTAGTGACCAGATCTACTGCATGTCACCGCTGTTCCAGTCACAGGTTACCACTGGTCTGCGCTGAGAAGCCAGAGTAAAAACGCTAAGACTGGAGCAGCGCAGGCTTCCTTCAAACACACACTGCTCACCACCTAGAAAGAGCAGCGCTTCCCTGAGCTCCCAGGAAGCCGGCGGCGAGCAGGAGAGCGACGCTGTGCTATGAGCTTCCTGCGGACACCCTGCCCGACCCGTCACACGCTGGCCCTGAAGGGATGTGTAGGTTGTGGAGCAAGAAAGACAGGAAGGTCAGGACTGCAAACCCGCGCCCTTGCAAGGATCCAGCATGGCCTCCCACCCCCACGCTGTCCTTCCAGAGACTGCCTCCCCTGCCCTCATGGGTCCCAGGATGTCCGTGGGGCCAGAGCCGGGTCAGCAGGGCCAGGTCAACCGTGCTGTGTTCTGACAGCGATGCTGAGGGACGAGGAAGCCTGCGTGGCCAGGCCACCCTCTCCCAGCACAGGACAAGCCCATGTGTTGACCTCCTGGGAACAGCTCACCAAGAATACCAAGAGGACAAACGTCTCCCCTCTAACACCCCACCAGGACGGGCCCCGAACACGCTTCATTCGAAGAAAGCCCAGGCAGAGTGACAGCTACCATGCTGGAGAGCAGCGACAGCGCTTGCCTCCCCGGAGAAACAGCCACCTTTCCACACACTGGGCACGAGCGCCACCCCTGCAGGAGCAGCTGAAGGCCACGGACACCGGGCCCGGCCCGGCCAGCTCCGCTCAGCCGCTCTGGAGTCTCGGGCGCTCGCTGCAGCCCAGGCCGAGGGGCCGCCAGGGGCCCTGAGGAAACGCGGCTTCCTGGGAGCAGACGGGCGGGGCCGCCTCAGGGCGGCAGCGCGGCGGGGGGGGGGGGGCGCGGATCACAGGCAAAGCAAACAGGCAAGATTTAAAAAGCAGGCCCAGGGGAGAGGGAAGCTGCGCTGGGCTGCCTGAGGCGGAGAGGGTGGGAGACAGAGAAGAAGCTGGTCCCGAAACCTCCTCGGATAACAGGCCTGCAGGAAAGCACGCCCAGCTCTTCCACTGTGCCTGCAGCTCCAGCTAATAAAAACCCACTCAGGTCAGTAATTCCATTACAGTCTATTCTATTCTAATTGAACCAAATGATAAAACGAGAGCACAACATCCCCCACTGACCTTCCAAGGCGGTTCTATGGAAGCTTGTTGACACCACGTTACAGGGCAAATGGGCTCCAACAAGTGCTTTGCTAATAAGGATCAGGAACCCCCAAACCACCTTCCGTTCCTACAGCATTGCTCTCCAAGAGCTCAGTGCAGGACTTCCTGCCCCTGGGCAGGTCACCTGAGACTGTGGGAAGAGCTACTCCCCTCAGAGAAGGGAAGCAAACATGACGGTGGACACAGAGAAAACTCTCCAACAGAAAAGGCTTTATGGAGAACTTGTGTGCTGGGAAGGAGGGTGAGTAGAAAAGCAGAGCACAGAATTGACAGCACTTAATTCAGGGACACACACCCAGCAGGTGTTCCCCAAAATGCCAGCCAAAGACAGAAAGGAACTAAAAGTAGGGCCTGCCTGAGACGGCGGGGTCGCAGGCCCACGATGCCCCTGCCAGGAAGGTGACAGGGTCCTCCTGGCCGGCCCTCTCGGAGGGCAGACCAGGCCGCCGGGACTGGAGAAACAAAAAGACACCTACCTCCCAGGCCAGGGCTGCTGGGCGGGCGAGGATGGACACCAGAGGCGGCTGTTGGGGGAACTGAGCTCGGAGGCCCTGCCGGGGAGCCCGGGCCAGCCAGCAGCCCGCCGAGCGCTGGGCTAAATGAACACGACCTAGCAGAGCCTCTGAGCCGCCGGGCCGTCTGCTCCCTGTGCCGTGCCGGGCCAGGGCCGGGGCGGTGGGGAGGGGGCCATGGTGCTCCGAGGAGTGACTGGCTGGGGCTTCGCCGGGACAAGGGAGCCCGGGCTGCGAGTCAGAAGCTGACACTTCTGTAAACTGGAAAAAAGTCACTGAACTTTCCTTGGTTTTAGCCTGTTCTCTGTGAGAAGACCCCTCCAGCTCTCAAACCGTGCCTATTTGCTGAGACAAAGCTAAAAGGGGTGTGCTCTTAAATGCCTGGCCCTGTCCTCCTGTCTGGAAATGACAGCCCCACAGCTCTGGGCGGGTTGAGGTCTCATCAGCGACCCTGGGGTGGGATGGTGGCCAGGCCAGCACAAGCTGTGTCACCGATTCCATCCCAGCCTGCAGTTTATCCAGCCTGGGGAGAGGGGCAGCAGGGGCAGCTAACCCCGCAAACAGCTGCCCTTCTGGCAGGCATCCCCGAGGGTGGCTACCAGAAGCTAAGTCATCCTCCGCTCCTCCCCGGGGCATCTGAGCAGGCGGCAGCCCCAGGCCCCACAAAGCCCACCCAGGGGCAGGGAACTTGGCACTCCTTCTCCTGAGGGGCTGCAAATCCCTGGAGAACCAGAGATTTTTCAAAAAGAAGCTTTCTGGATGTCCTTTTTAACTCTAAACGTGAGAACTAAAAAAGAGGAAGCCAAGAGTGCCGCGTGCAAATCCCAAGGCAGGCCTTCCGTCTCTGAGCTGCGTGGGGTCCTCCAGGCTGTCGCTCCAGTGCAGGCTCACAAGGCCCTCGTGGTGACAGGCAGGGAAGGTGGCCGAATGTGCAGCACGAGGTCACTGGGCTATTTATTGCCTTAGGAAAGACCAGAAGCCCTGGCTCCCCAGGGAGGTTTATGGGCCCCGGCAGCCCTGCGCTCCCCCCGCCCCCCACAGCACCCCAGGCTGCGAGGCTCCCAGCTTCCCCAGACCCCATTCCAGTGAGCCCAGCAGGAAAGGGCTCCGGGACCAGATGGGTCCTGGCAGGAGGTGGTGATGTTCTGGGATGTCTCGGGCTGTCCAAGATGCGCTGCCTAGGCCGGACCTGGTCCTCGGCTCGGCAAAGGTCCCAGGGATAAACACCAGGGCCAGCCGCAGGGACGGGGGAGGGCTCTTCCTCCAGGGCCCAGCTGCCAAGCCACAGGCCCCCAGGCTGAGTCAGGAAGTCAGGGTAGAGAACTGCCGAGAAGCTAAACTGGTCTAAGGGCCTTCCCAGAAACCAAAATTGCACCAAATAAGGTCATGATGCCTCTGACTGACTTTGTCATTGACTGCAGAAGCACAACATGATTCTCCAAGTTTTCACTGTCATCTTAGAATAAGGCCACTTGTGTATCTGCACTAAAGGAACATAACGGGGGGCAGTCATCCTCTGCCCCCTCTGGGAACCTCCACCCGGGGCAGGAGGTTGGCAGCTCCCGAATGGCCACGGAGGTGGTGACGTGCAAGGCAGGCCGTGGGCACTCACACCCGGGCAGACGATTGTGGCTCGCGAACAATTTTGAATTTTGTAAAAATAAATATAAATAAATATATTCCAAGCACTCTGTTAAGGGAATAAGTGGCAAAGAAGAAAAAACTTTCTAGATATAAAGACACTAAAACACCCACAGAGAAACCTCTAAGAAACCTTCTAAGAGGGAAAGGTGAGGAGTCAGGCCCAGGGCCCCTCTCTGGGCACACAGGCCCTTGTGCCAAAGTCCCAGGAGGCCAGGCGGAGGCACTTACGGGAACGTGTGAGTGGTGTGGGAATTTGGAGGCAAGAGGGAGGCAATGAGTCTGAGGAGCAAGCCAGGACTTGGGGTGGGTGGCTGGGGTGCCAGCCTTAGCGGCAGAAGGAGGACACCCTGCCTCTGAGGGAAGGAAAGGCACTAGTTATGATTATTTTTTAAATTAAGAGATTAACAGGGTTGCCAGAACAGAAACCAGAGCAACAGCCCCAGGTGGGGAAATGCCCAGGCCCAGGGACATGGAGACGGGGCCCTCGCTCCCTTGCTCCCCATGCAACCTTCAACCCCGCTACCCTGCGGAGATGCCTCCTCATTCTCTGGATAGACGACGAAATAAAGCTTCCAGAGACCTGGGAGAAACAGGGAGAGGTTACCAGCCCTGCACTGTGCAAAAAGCATTCATGGCCCTGCCCCCCACAGGGGAAGGGGGTTTGAGGTGACACAGCCCACTCAGCTCCAATTCCACCCCAGGGCTGTCAGCAGAAAGCCTTGGAAGGGGCACCGGCCACCTCCTCTGTCAGTGTCACCCTGGGAAGGACGGGGGAGGATGCCACCAGGGAGGGCATGCATCGGGCGTCGGCTTAGCTGGCCCAGGATTTGCGGTTCTCGGGGTTCCTGTGGCTCCGGTCGGCCCGGAGCATCGCAGTGCCCTCGGCCTTGGCCAGGGCCGCCGTCAGGGAGGCCAGGTTGGTGGCGGAGCCGGAGAGGGTGCTGCTCCTGCGGGGCTCGGGGGCGCCCTGCAGCCTGAGCCCCGCGCTACGCCGCCGGCCTGTGCCCGCCGCCCTGCGCACCCGGCCCGGCCTCACCAGCAGCCCGTAGCCGGGGTTGCACTTGAAGTACTGCTTCCCTCCGATGGAGCCATCATTCTTACCTGAGGGGAAAGGAAGAGCAGATGTAAAGGGGTCTTCTCACGGCTGCTCCTGCCCCCACGGCCCCCCTCCCTGCAGGACCCCCATTTGCCAGGTGGCCCGCACCGGGCTCACCCCTGAATGACTGAGGCCGGGCCCAGGGCGACCGTCTTCTGGGCAGCATGCAGTGGTCACTGGAGACAGAAACCCCCCGGTGGCCTCAGGCGTGACGTCGGCGTGCTAGCCCTGCCATTTCTGACACCCAGGTGCAGGCAAGCCACCAAAGCACAGCTGGCAGCATCCCCTTCCCACCCTGGGGCACAGATCATTTTCAGTCTGGAGGGTTGAAATGTAAATCTAGGATGGATGGTGTTGGTAGAATGATTATTTTTTCTAAATCTAGTAGATGGAAACTGGCAAACTGCCAAATTGTAGCTAGTCAGATGTCATGCTTGATGTGTCAAGATGGAGTGAAGAAGTTTCCCTTGTAAAAGCGAATAGAAAATGCTTTAAGGTGAAGGAGGAGGACACAGTCCTGGGTGGGGGGACTGAACAAAGGGACCGCCCTGACTCCTAAATGTCACCATCCGTGGTGATGGGTTGGTGGGGAACATGATCTTTACAGGAAAAACCATCATGAATTTTCTATACTCCCTGTCTGCATATATATCTACCTGCCCCTCTCTCTTTACCCCGCTCCAAACATGCCCACCTCCACCAGCTCCTCTCAAGGTCAACTAGGATCACCTGGGCCCACCTCCTGAGGCATCTAACAGGTGATCTCTCCCACTCTCTGGCTACTGCTGTCACTTGGCTCCTGGGACTCCCACCTCCATCTCCCAGGCTCCTCCCTCCCAATCTCACCCTCAGCAGGGCCCACGGCTGTGCCCAGCCCTGCTCCCTGCTAAGGGGCTCACCCACCCCACCGTACACTCCATGAACCCTGATGCGTCTTTGCTGTGCCTCCAGCCCAAGGGGGGCCCCCTCTGCCATCTCACCTCCACCGGCACGTCTAGCCCGCACCCCAACTCCGCCTGGGCTCCTGCCCCGCGCCCTCCCCTGCTCTCTCAGGCTTTCCCATGCGGCCAACAGCAGCATCATGACCCTGTTCTCAGGCCACATTCAGGTGTCCGCCTGGCTCCTTTCCTCCCTGACGTCCCATGATCCCTCAGTCCTGGGGCTTCACTGTCACATTTTTCCAACATAACCACTTCCTTCCACCTCCACCGCCACCACTCATCCCTGGCCTGGGCAGCTGAAGCAGCCTTCTAAGTGGCTTCTTGTCTCCACTCTATTTTCCTAAAACAAAGTCGTCTTTTTAAACCCTCCAATGATTTCCTATTATACTTTACCCTTTGTGACCCGGCCACCACACCTCTCCAGCCTCCTCGGCCCGCCTTCCTGCTGCCCCTGAAATGCGGCGCGCTTGTGCCTGCCTAGGGGCTCGTATCCTCGGGGCCCTTGGCCTCTGATGCTGCCCCCAGCCCAGCTTCCTCCTTCCATCACTCATGCCTTTGCTTCCCTCAATGTTATTTAAAATATGGCCACACCCACCATCCTCTATCCACTTATCAATTTTATTTTCTTCATAGCACTTAGTACTATCAGATTTTGTTTGTTGGTTGACTTGGTAATTGTCTCCCCTCTAAAATGAAAGTCTGGGGAAACCAGGGGCTTTGTTTTGCTCACCAAGTATCCTCAGGACCCCGGACAGTGGTGGGAACTCAGTAGTTATTTGTTGGAGGATTTCATCTGTTTGCTAATCTCCTTTAATTCTTGAGTTCAACCGCAAATATTAAACTTCCTTCCCAATTCCCCTTCAGATTCCAGCAGAAATGGAGTTTAAAAAATATTCCAGCCTATGCTACATCAGTCTTCTAGAACCACCTCCAATTTATAACATTCTTTGCCAAAATTATTTTTAAAGATAGTGAGTGACTTCACAGCTGAGCCTAGGGGCCCAGAGACAGTCACAGTGCGGAAGGCTTCGCGGTTCACAGAGCCCTCTCCCCTAATCCCAACCAAGAAAAGCTCCTCCATCTCCACTCCTAGCTACACCCACAAGCTCTCCTACAAACCTGTCTCCACAGCTCCCAACCCCCACCTAATGGAGAGGCTGCCTGACCCTCCTACACCGCTGGTGGGAAGGGAGGATGGAAATCAGTCTGGCCGTCCTCAAAATCTTAACTGTATAGTTAACTCCTGGGTCTCTACTCAAGAGAAATGAAAACATGTGTCTACACAAAATCTTATACACAAATATTCCCGGCAGCATTATTCACAACAGACAAAAAGTGGAAACAACCCATATGTCCATCAACCGACAAACAGATGAACAACATGTGGGGCAGCCATACAAGGATATTCTTTGGCCAGAAGAAGGAGTGAAGTGCTCGCACAGGCTACGACTGGATAAACCTTGGAAATATCACACCGAGAGAAATAAGCCAGGCACAAAGGTCCATGTATGGTAGGATTCCATTTATATCAAAGTCCAGATTAGGACATTTCATATAAATTTAGAGACAAAAAGTAGATTAATGGTTACCTAGGGCCGGGGGAGGGATTGTGCCCCTGCTAATAGACAAGTGGCTTCTTTTGGGGTGATCAACCTGTTCTAAAATTAGCTTATGGTGATGGTTGCATAACTCTGTATATATACTAAGAATCATTGAATTGTGCACTTTAAACAGGTGGACTTTATGGTATGTAAATTGTATCACAATAAAGCTGTTTAAAAAAAAACATCTGAAGGACAAAGTATTTCCTTAAGTCATGCCCTCAGTTTTTCTGAAAATGATGATCTATTGGCTTTTAAGCTGTGCCGTTCTAAATGAGGCTTCACAGATTGGCGAGCCTGCAACGGTGGATCTTACTGGATCACTTCATGTTCTGTTCTCAACCCACCAGCCAAGGAGCCTCGGGATGTCTTAGGAACAAGTGAGACCTCTGAATGTCCACACCGGCCTCCGTGTTTGTAACCTGAGCAAAGTCGGCAGATACAGCTGCTGTTACTCTTCAAATGCAGCTGCTTCTGTGAGTAAAAAACCAGCATTTAAATTCATTACCAAATTTATAGTGGCTTTCAATTAATGTTTTAGGTTTCTGAAAAATTTCTGGAGGTTAAAAAAAGAGAACCTGACTCTTAAAATGCTTAGGAAACTCTTATCTAGCGAAAATTCCTGATTTTGAAAAGTGGCAACCCGGAGACTGAGAGAGGTCACAAGATGTGCCCAAAGGCACACATTCTTGGCAGCGCTGGGGCAGACCAGAGTTAACATGCTAAGTCGCCTCCAGTGCGCGGAACCTGTCCCAACAGCGCCACTCACCTGAAGGTAAGTCCAGCTCCACTCCGATCCACGTCCCTTCCTGAAAGTTGGTCGGCCCGATGTACCTCACGATGCCCGTTTTGTTGGTGCCCACTGTAACATACTCTCCCTCTTTGAGCCACTCTGGGACTTCACTGGCTTCTTCAGAATCTGAGGAAACTTCCAGCTTTCCCAGGGCCTGTGCCCCGGAGCTGCAGTGGCCCGGCCCTCCTGAGGCCAGCAGGTCCTCTTCAGCACCCGAGGGGCAGCCGGGGTCTCCGCCAAGCATGCGTGTGAACGACCTCAGCTCAGAGGTCCTCACCTTCTGGATTCTGAATGGAGATGCTGGAGCAGGCGACTGCGGGAGGAGACCAGAAGGCAGCTGTGGTTTGCAGACATCCAGCTCTAAGCTGGCGGCCAGCTTCACCTGGTCCTCGGGTCGTCCTAGGTGCTTGGTAGCAGAGGAAAGTTCTCCACTTTGCTGGCTGGGTGATTCCTTCTGAGGGGCAGAAGTGGGAAGATGAGTTAGGGAAGTGCTTGCTTCTTTCTCCTGCTTCTCCCAGGAAACTGCTTCCTTAGCCTCAGATGCACCACTGCTGTTGCCCCGAGCATTTTGCTTTGCTGGGACGGACAGTGATGGAAGGCTGCTCTGACCCTCCAACTGGACAGAAAGATCTCTGTCTGCGCTGGTAGTAGTAGATGGAAACAAGAGCTCAGTCTCCGGGGTGTCCTGGCAGAGGGCAGGAGGGGGCAAGCCGGGCATCTGCCCGCCAGACTGGGCAGCAGCATCCAGGCCAGGGATGAGCGCGTCAGACAGTGTGGCACTGGAGACACTGTGGGAAAAGTACCCGCTGGAGGCCTCGCTCAGGGGGCTGGGCGGCCCGTCCTGAGCTTCTGGGGCCTGGGTGTTGGCAGTGACGGACTGCTGGGGAGGCACTTTGGTTGGTCTGTCGTAGATCTTCACCACGGGGGCAATCTGCACAGTCACATCAGGAGCCGCACTAACCTCCACGCCCTCTTGGTGAGCCTGAAGCAGGAGAGGGGTAAGCGTAACTGGTTAGAATTCAAAAGGAGAGAGACAGATTTTGTTGCCGTTAGTTGAAACGTCACAGCTTTGCTGGTGAAAGAGCATTGCCGTGCAGTAGGGCAGACCTGGTTCTATCAGTTCCACCACCTCCGTCCACGTGACCTGGCTTCTCAGGCACCAAATACGGAGCGGCCGACTCCACTCCCAGCAGGCGCTGCACTCTGCACCCTGCTGAGCGCTGAGCAAGATGCCAGGGGCCTGCCCTTCCATCTCCTCACCTTTTATATAAACCAGAGATTCTAACAGCTGTTTGTGACGTTGTGATTTACAATAAGAAATATATATTTGGCCTTGGTCCTGTTTCTGGCACAGACCTCTCAAAACCCTTGGAACTTCCTAAGTGTTAAGAGCAATCAAGGTGTCTTAATATTCATAAGAAACCCCTTCCAACAACACCTGAGTTTGTTAATGAGGTGACTTTTGGCCTGCACCTAAGGATGGGGGCTGGTTGCCAGGGGAACGAACCTTGTGACTAGAGGGTTGGAACTTTCCATCCCACCCCCAACCTCCGGGTAGGAGAAAGGGGCTGGAGATTAAATCAATCATCAATGGCCAATGATTTAATCAATCAGCCTATGCAATGAGGCCAGAAGAACGGGCTTCTGGGAGCTTCCAGGTTGGTGAACACATGGAGATTGAGGAAGGGCACATCTGGAGAGGACAGGGAAGCTTCATGCTGCTTCCCACATGCGTCTCTCTATGCATTTTTTCCATCTGGCTGTTCCTGCATTATATCCTTTTATAATAAACTGGTAATCTAGGAAGTAAAATGTTTCTCTGAGTTCTGTGAGCCATACTAGCAAATTAATCAAACCCAAGGTGAGGGTCCTGGGAACTCCAATCTGTAGTCAGCTGGTCAGAAGCACAGGTGACAACCTAGACTTGTGATTAAAGCACAAAGCGGGGGCAGTATTGTGAGACTAAGCGCTTAACCTGTGGGATCTGCCGCTACCTCCAGCTCGACAGTGTCAGAATTGAGTTGAACAGTAGGACAGCCAGCTGGTGTCAGAGAATTGCTTGGTGGTGTGGGAAACAACACACAAGGGACTGCCACACAAGGCAGGTGAAGGCCCTCACCACAGAGCATGGCACACAATAGGCGCACACTAAAATCTCAATTCCCTCCTCCCACCCTCAGTATCCCCACCTCCCTGCAATCAGGCTAAGAACTCTGCTCCCGTGGAAACAGACCCCCTCCCCACCACTGACTTCACACAGAGACTGAAAGAATCTCTATAGGCCAGAAGAGCACTTTTCTCCTTCAAAATTGAAATGATGATCTCATTGGAGGATCTGCAAGTGCCTAAGCACAGCTGCACCGGCCCAGGCAGGAGAAATGACCTCGGGCCTGCTGGCTGATGGCCGTTCCTGGCTGGGAGGCAGGTGAAAGAAGAGGGGACGGCGGCTGCCCGCAGGCCGTGCCCTTTCTCTGAGAGGCCGTCTTTCAGGCTGCTGCTGAAGGCTGGTCCCATGTCACGGGTCAGGGGCCCTCTGATCCCGGCAGACAGGCCAAGCAGCAGCTGAGCGGGGAGGGAGCCGCAGCAGCTGGCCTCTCCCTCTCATGTCACTGTCTGAGTCACGCTGGCAGACACACAGAGCCCCATCTCACGGGGACTGATGACAGCCACTGTCCGTCCAAAGTCTACTGTTTCTGAGGCGCTCGTAAGGTGTTCTTCCCTTGATAACTTAAGCCATTTGAAGAAAGTGGCAGATTATCTTTCTGTTCTGATTCACAATGACAGGGGAAAAGAGCCGGCAGGAACAGGGAATGGGGCTGGTGCGGTGAAGAGGGGTGCTGTTCAGAAAAAGAAATATGTTTCCAATATTTACGGAAAGATTATTTATATTACAGGAATGGCCATTTTCCATTTGAAATACAGGATTTATTTGAACTGGGAAACAGCTGAGATCTATAAGTCTCTTACAGTTAGTTGGCTGAACTCAGCAGTACGATAAATCATGCACTTTCACGTGAACTGTCATTTATATTCCTGTCTCCGGGGGCCCTCCTTTCCCTACCAGGCACACTTTCAGGGTACGAAATTAACGGCACCTCTTGAGATTAACAGCCCATTTTTGTGATGGATCTCTAGGCTGCAAAATTTACTAAATCCAATAGATCAATAACTGTCACCAGCATAAATACTCTAAAAGATTAGGCAATCCTTCAATCATTTTTCTTTTGCAAGTTGTACGTGTTTTATTTATTCTTTTCTATTTTATTTTTAGTATCACTGACCAGACAGGGAAGACTACACAAACAAAATTATGAGAGTCTAGAATCTGAATGATAATTATGGTGCTGAAAGACTATGTGTTTCCCATTTCTCTGCTGGGTGAGACCCCATCATCACCAGATTGACAGCAGTCTGCTAAGGGCCAGCTAGGTCCTATCCAGTAGAGATGACAGTCTAGTGACAGTGCCCTAGGTTTCCCTGGTATTATCCCATTTGCTTCCACATGAATCCTTTGATGTAGGCCAGGAAGTATTATCATGTTCATTTTACAACATGGCCCAGAGAGGTTACAGGATTTACCCAAAGCCTCCAGTAAGTGACAAATCAGGGATCAGAGGTCAGATCCACAGCGACGACAAAGAAGAGACCAAAGGTGGCAGGAGGCGAGCGCTGATTGCAGTGTTCCCTCCTGCTGAGCCTGCGCACAGCCTCAAATTCCTTCCGTTACAGCGCGGCAGGCAGCCGCTCCCACTTGACTGGAGTTGATATGTGAGTGGAAACCTATTTGCCGTCTTTGGGCTATGCCCTTACCATGAACATTTCCAGAGGCTGCTGGGAAAGCCTAGACTTGAGAAAACCACCACGACGAGCTGCAAAGCTCCCTGAGCTGCAGATGCTGTGGCAGGTCAGGTGTCCTCATCAGTAAGGGACTTGGTCCCACTCTGTCCCATTGGCCTTGGGACCCCCGACCTGCCTCAGCAAAATCATAAACACTACTTGTGGGGGACAGCAGGGGACCACGGATCTATCTTCAGTTCAATTTGTGAACACCAAGGATGTCCTGGAAAGGGCCATTTAGAAAGGAGCGAATTCATGGAGTGAATTCTGAATTTTCTTTCAAATTATTTGGTCTTTTTTGCTATTGTTTTAATAAATAAAATTTTCCTATGAAGACAGAGCATTTCCTAAGAGAATGAATGCACAGTGGGAGAAAACAGATTTGCTATTCATAAGATGAGAAGTGCTGTTCATCTGTGGGAGATCATAAGAAACTATTTTCTCCCCAGCTTAGCATTAGTCTTTTCACGCTGATATCATGAATCAGAATGAAATGTAAAACTGAGAATTAAGCAAACACTTAGAATAAGGAGATTGTTCTGTTTATAGAAATCGCCTTTGCCTAGCAGTGGGCTATTAAAGCAGCAGACTACATTAGCAGTCAAGCACCTAAAAGTTTAGCAATCATATGATTAACAAGTTGAAAATAGACAAGTGTAACAAGGAAAATAGAGGGAGAAGACAGCGACCTATATTGTAGTTAATTATCAAAATGAGAATGCTAAAATTAAAAAAAACATGGGTGTGGACCAAACAATTATAGCATCAGGGCCACCCACCATATGTGCGGCAGCCACCTGCAAAGGCACCACCCCAGCCCAGCCACCTCACCTCCGCCAACCTGATCGTCCCCACATCCAGGAGGGCAGACTGCACCAGGATCCGGGGCACCGGCTGAGAAAACAAGTGAATGGGGGGTGAGGGTGATCAAGAGAAAACCAGAGAAAGTTTTAATTGTACAGACTGGAGAGCCCATCAGGAGGACCCACCCGAAGTGAACTTTTACAACTTTCAGGAATTCTAACAAGTTGCTACCAATTAGGCATGCCAAGCACGGGGGTCGTCACATACACAAGGAAATGTAGGAAATGAGGAGCACGGCGAGCGGCTCAGCCCCCCGCTAGCAACCCAAGACACACGCTAAAACCAATAACATATATGGTGTGCTGACACGCTCTCAGGCGCTCTCTCCACTCATGCGGGCCACACGTTACTCAAGGGCTGTGTCTGTACCTACAGGCATTACAGGACTTTACAGAGAGAAGTGATCGGGACAGGAAAGATGGGGCAGGTAGGAGGTGGAATACAAACCAAGCATTGATGGCCAGGGAAAACTCATGGTGCAATAGGAGGACTGCGATGTAGTCCCAGGAAGGGAGGAGGAAGGAAGCCAGTCTGGCTGGAGCACGATTCTGGGGCATAAGACAGAGCAGGAAGATCTATGGACAGAGGCTTTAGCATCTGAAACCAACCTAGTCAGGAAATGACAAGGACCACCACAGATGCCTGAGCAAAGAAAGCAGAAGACCAAGAAGACTGATCAGGTGGCGGAAGGCACACTGATGGGAGAAATAGCTAAAGACTAAGGTGGGCAAATCACTAATGAGACTCCAGCCACAGAGCAGGTATGCAGTGATAAAAGTCTGAATTTATGGGTGCAAGCAACATCACAAGAAAGGATGTCATTACTTATGGACACGTGGTTCAAGGAACATTAAAAAAGAGTAAAAAAATAATCAGCACCAGGTAAAGGAAAAGGGATGCCAGGAGAAGGAGCTGGTAACTGTGGAGGAGAAGGAATCAGAAATTCATTTAGTAGCTGCTGAGTTTCCAATGGCAGTGGGACATTGAAGCAGAAGTGATCATCTTAAAGAAACCAGGAATCCACCACTTCTGCTTTTAATCCCTCAACCAACCTCACCTCAGCTCACCTGAGAATGCTCAGCTCTAAGAGGGCTCCATCCTGGCAGAACAAACACTCCTGGTCCTGTCTCACAGGAGGGGTCAAAATCGGGGTTTGTTTCTGCACAGGACAAGTGTCTTTTCTCTTGTTGGGTCACTGATCCATTATCTATTGTCTAATCTAAACTGCCTAGAGAAGGAAATTCCATATCTTTCCATTTCCCTTATTCTGGCCCTAAGTACTCCAGGTCCTCCCAGTTTCCATGGCATATCCAGGTGCCAAAGGCTTCCATGCCATCAAGACCCTCTGGATAGTCTGCAGGGACTCAGGGTGGACACCCAAAAGTCTTTCTTCCTCTTGGGCAGCCCACACTCTTAATTGAAGAGAGAAGAGCCCACCTGGAACAAGATGGCCCACTTAGGGGGGTGTTAACCTGAGTTCACAGCACCACATAACTGCATTTTGGCAAAGGGGACCACTATAATCAATCACGCCTCGGGAATGACTTTGGGAGAAAAGTCCCAGAAGGGATTAATTCTGCTGAAGGTAAGGGAAGAGCAAGAGGATTTGAGAAAAGGCACAGAGGAGAGGACATGAAGTAGGACATGGTAGGAGATAAGCTAAACAGAAGGACCCAGGGACGAACTAAAGGAATACACACTGCACTCTGCAAACACTGGGGGCTTACCAGGGGGTCGAGGCCAGGGAGAGCTGGCATCAGAGGTGTGTTTAAGAAAGACAAAGGGAGTGGCCAACAGAACGGAATGAGAGAAGACGCCCTAGTGGCAGCAAGGCCACTGCACATGATGAGGGCCTGAAGGACAAGACCCTCCAGGCTCTCCCTCGAGTCCTTGACCAGGAAAGTCTCTTCCCTGCACTCCCATGACACACTCCTCCTTCCCTCTCTCTCAGCAAGCCCCGGGTCTCCCTCGCAGGAGTTCTCTCCTTGTCTTCTCTACTGTCAACTCCCTGACAGTCGAGTTCTTTTCAAGCAAGTATCCTCCACTCTATGTTAGAGTCCTTGAAGGCAGGGGGCAGTGGCTGCTTATCTTTATTGCTAATTTCCCCATAGTATCTGAAGTCCCCCACAAATGGAAAGGTGTTCACAGCATATTTCTTAGTAAAGACAAAAAAAAAGTTTCTAAAGCTCAAACTCCAAAATACTTACATTCTTTAGTTAGATCTTATTTAAAACAGAGAAGATTGGGGTGAAACATTCCCCCCATAAATGTAAAAAGCATAAAAATGTAAAAATCCCACCCAGGATGGAACCTTTTCTAAGATATGACTCTTGCCCTCCTAAACAGAGCACGCAAAGATAAATTACACTTCACTTTACGACTCAGAGTAATTGGAAAAGTCCAGTAAATGCTTTAAAAATATTTGTTGAAATGAATTTAAGGGCCAGTTTGACTGTAACACTGTGCTGGAATCCAGTGGACCCACAGGGCTTCCTGGTGCCCAGGGCCCCTGGGCCCTGACTTCATGGCCCCAGTCTACTAAGCTGAAGACCTCACGTCTATGGCTCACAGGTCTCCTGTCACCATCACTCACTCGCAAGGACCACCTCCTGATCAGGCAACATATCTGCTTCATAACGATGCCCACCCTGACTCCCACTTTAGTGTGAACCAGGAAACTGGATGATTACACACATCTGAAATGGCTAAAAATGGTGTCAAAAATAAGATTAGCGCAGGTCTGCATGGGGCCTGAGTGCAATGTCAAGTACTTTGACCACACCTGCCTCTCCAGGTCACGTGCTAGTAACTGCGTGGTGCCGCCCTCTGTGGGGTGCTGGTAGTAGCGGCTGCCAGACACCAACTCTGCACAAGTGAGGACCACCGGAAGATACTTCTCCAACAGAGGATGTTTGGAAGGTACATGCTAAGGAGAGTGGGGGTATAGACATACAAGACTTGCCATGTTTAATTTTTATCAAAGCCAGGTGATGAGGGATTCGCTATAGTATTCTACTCCTTGTATATTTCAAATTTTCCCAAATTACACAGGGATTCACTATAGTACTCTCTCCTCCCGTGTATTTCAAATTTTTCCACAATTCTGCCCTCCATGAAGAAGATAACTGGAGCTCTGATTCAGTGTATAAATTCAGTTCAACAAAGACTTAGGTCTCAGCGCACAAAGGATTGCAAAAAATGCTCTGGGGAACTCAAAAATCGGAAAGACACGGGCTTTGCTCTCAAAAGATTGGCATCTAGTTTGGGGGAAGGACATGTACGCAAATAACTAAAACATCAAGGAAAATGATAGATATTAGAATAGAAGCTTAATTTTATTTATTTATTTATTTTTCCCCCCAAAGCCCCAGTAGATAGTTGTATGTCATAGCTGCACATCCTTCTAGTTGCTGTATATGGGACGCGGCCTCAGCATGGCCGGAGAAGCGGTGCGTGGGTGCGCGCCCGGGGTCTGAACCCGGGCCGCCAGCAGCGGAGCGCACGCACTTAACCGCTAAGCCACAGGGCCAGCCCTAGAATAGAAGTTTAAAAGCACAGAAGATTCAGGGCAAGAAGGGATCATAAACAGAACAGGCCTAGAATAACTTCATGAGGACGATTTTACTTTGAGATAGGGCTTGAAGAATAAGTAGCTTTTCCCAGGGAAGAGGGACACCACGCATGAAGAGTGGCATGACAAAGGAAGGCTGCCCGTTGTGGCTGATGTGTTCCCTCAACTCACATCTCTGCCCTTGGATAAGCTACTTGATCTTTCAGGAGGTCTTGGGGAAGAGAGAGTGATCTAGACTGACCAGCGGGAAGGAAGGTTAGGGCCAAGTGGAGGAGGCCTTGGGAGCTCATGGTTGATTTTCACAGGCAATAAGGAGCTATCAAAGGTTACTGAATGGAGCGGTGATAAGAGCTATGCTCACAGAGGATTAATCCTTAAATGGGGAGCCACTAAACTTGGAGAGATCAATTAAGAAGTTGCTTCAACGGTTCGGTGGAGAGCTAATAAGAGCCTGAACTTGGATGGTAAGACGAAAAGGAGAGCCGGCCCCGTGGCTTAGTGGTTAAGTGTGGCGCTCCACTGCTGGCGGCCCGGGTTCGGACCAGTGCACACCGACGCACCGCTTCTCCGGCCATGCTGAGGCTGCTTCCCACATACAGCAACTAGAAGGATGTGAAACTATGATGTACAACTATCTACTGTGGCTTTGGGGGAAAAAAATAAATAAATAAAATTATATATATAAAAAAAAAATACCTGCAAAGTATACTGAAATCTTAAGTGGGCCATTTGTCTCTCCCACATAGCTCAAATTTCCAAATGTGTATTGTTTGCATGTTAATGCTCTGTTACATATCCCCTGTGCAGACAGTTGCTTTCTATTTCAGGAGCTCAAAACATTTCAGATCATAAGTTCATTACTCCTTACGACACATCTGGTAACTATTAATAAAAATGACTGCAAAGTATTTTGCCACTATAAATATTAAGAAGTCCCATGAGGCACACGAATATGAGTGATAATTATCTACATTTCACACTACAGAAACCAAGGCTCATAGACTTCACCTAATGGTTCAACACATTCAGGGTGCCCAGTGAGTTAGTGACAGAGATGGAAAAGGACTGAGTTCTCAAGTGCCAGCTGAACCTGCAATCATGCTGTCTCCTGAGCATTGCTAAAACTGAACAAATGAGTAGGTTACAGGCAAGAGAATTGCTTAGAAGTATTTCAGGGAAAAGAGGATGGTCACTTCTCATCTATCTCGTCATTATTTAACTCTGGCTTTCACATGCCACATGAATGAAAATAGGGCAGATTAGCCGAGAATTTCATAACTAGGCATAAAAGCTATTCTGGAGACCCCTTTACCTAGAAGAATAAAGTTTAACTCCTTGGCATGATGTAAAGGACCCTCCCCTATGAGGGTGCACCCTTTCCCTGCTTGTTATATGAACCCACTGTCAACTCCCTGAATACACTGCTTTGCCAGAGCCTTCCTCTTGCTGTTCCTTCCCC